TCTTCAAGTCTTCTATAGTATTTTCCAAAGTCAAAACTAACGTGTGGGCACCTTCTTTTAGTTAAACTAAAAACCAATCATATTAGTTGTCAACAATTTATTTATGATCAAAATATAAGTTATATTATATTTTGCTTCTCCACACAATCATTCAACTTATATTATCACAAATAATTATTGGCATTTTTTTTCGCATGTTCAATATGAAATAATGCAATAACAATAAATAAATAATATATTTCATTTACCATAGAACATGTTATTTTACAATAGCAAAACTATACTATATGGGCACACAACCTAATAGTTGTTTCCTCTATCACTATATAGAAGAAGAGATGTATCATTTCTTAATAGCAACCGAGAAAAAGCTTCTCGGTTTTCATAGGATGTATCTAAACTAGACTCTAATTTTCTGAAGACTAGCTTATGTATCCTCATTCTTAAAAGTCTCCTCTTAGGATTCGCATGGCAAGCACTTCCAACATGTTGTTGAATCACAAGCTTCAATGTTCTGGCACCATATCCAAGGAGTTCAACGGTTGCATCACTCACCTGAATTTTTTGATATGCTCTCTTCTTTTATACTGGTGCCAACTGTAACATGACAATACTGCTAATCTGTTTGAGGTCAAGAGCTGGATTGTCGACACGATTCATGAACTCGGGGCTGAAAATTAATCTTGCAGCCTCCATTACCCTCTTCTTCATAGTTTCATAAGCCATCTCCTTAGGCAAGGTATCATCGTCTGTGTTAAGTATATACTGTGAACCCACATTGATGTCATGATGATTACAGTATTGTTGACTCACAATGCGCTTGTAGTGAATCAGTTACTCTACCATCATCCAGGATTTGAAGGAACACATTAAATACATCAGAATGCGCATTTTTTGTAACAACCCGGATCTCTATACCCAAGCTGTTACCTTACGTGCTGTCCGCTTCGGGTGGGCCTATGCCCACTTACCCCTTCACGGCTTTCTATGTCCCCAAGATTTGAATTCAAGACCTCTGCCTAATAAGAGATTTAAGTTGAATCCTAGTACCAATTGTGAGGGAGTAAGTGGGCATAGACTCACTCAAAGCGGAAAGTACATAAGTTAACGGTTGGGGTATGGAGACCCGGGTCGTTACATTTTCATTCACATCAAACATAATAACTGCAAATGGCCACCTCTGGAAAATAATGTGAACTGCCCTCCTTCATATCCAACGTAACCTTGGGGCTCCAATCAATTGTGGAACTGCATGTTTTTCCATGTACTAGCTCATATCGATTGGTACAAGAGCTTCTTTGGTGTTGAACATAAAGGAAGGAATTGCCTTTGCAAACTCCGTCTTTTCAACAACTGTAGGACCCATGAACATGAAGCTAGTAGCAGGACGGTGGGGATCTGATGCATAGTGAAGCGATAAAGATTCAACGCACGCCTAAAGATCGGTTGATTCTGCAAATACTCGATGTTTAGGGAGTCAAAGATCGTTGATTCTTCAAAAAGAATGTCGAAATTCGACGATTATATTAGAAATATCTCAATTTTATTAATAATCAAATTCAACCGAAAATAACGACAACCTATAAAGTTTTTAAATAGCAATTCTAAGACAAAAAAACTTTGAATCTAATAAAGACGAAAAACTTCTTACTTAATTAAAGAACATAAGACAAAATAAAATATTATAAATAAAGTATTGATTCTGCGAGAGATATGCTCACTCTATCTGGATCTGAAAGGCCTTCCCGGGATCTTTGACTAGCCTCTGCTACAGATCTTACTGCAGGATCTTGACCTGACCACATGTCTATGTAACTCTTCCTCCAAATGCAACAGCTTCTTCCTCTCCAGTTGTTGTAGTTTGGAAACAAGAATACATGTCCATTTACTAACAATCTTAGCAATATCTCTACCAGTAACTTCTTCTCTATGCATGGACTTTCCAGACTTCTGCAGTTTCAAGTTGACGCTGCAGAAAGTTTAGGCTCCCATACTTCAACTCAGCAGCACAGTTGAGATGATACTCCTCAGCTTGCTGGATCTCTACATTTACTCTGTCAATCTCTTCCTTGATAGAATGTATGCTTGTCATAACAGTTTTTTCATGCTCCCACTGCTCATTCAGCTCATCTTGTCCCTGCTTCAAGAGAGACAATTCTACCTCAAGGCAATTTAGCCTATCTTTTGATGCTTTATCAGTGTCATTGGTAAGAGAGAGCCTTTCCATCTCAAGTTTCAGAACAGCACGGTTAATTTCATCAAGGGCAGTTGGTTTTGAAGTAATCTCCATTTTCAGTTTAGCTGCTGCTTTGTCAACAAGCTCAATAGCTTTGTCAGGTAGGAAACGTTCACTGATGTAGTGGTTTGATAGAATTGGAGCTTCAACAAGGGTACTACCTGAAATGCAGACTCCAGCAGCTCGTACTTTTCACGCAGACCACTGAGAATAGAGATGGTATCTTCCACTGAAGGTTGATCAACATAAACTTGCTGGAACCAGCTCGGCATGGCCTGATCTTTCTGAATATTCTTATGATATTCATCCAGAGTGGTTGCACCAATGCATTGTAGCTCTCCACCACCTAGCATAGGCTTCAAGAGTTTGCCAGCTTCTGTTTCACCACTGGTAGCACCTGCACCAACCACTGTGGATCGCATCAATAAAAAGGATTATCTGGCC